CTTGGCCACTGCAGCCTCCACCTGCTGGGCTCCGGCGATCCTTCCACCTCAGCCTTCTGAGTAGCTGGAATTATAGGCATGCGCTACCACGCCTGGCTGATTTTTTATTTATTGTAGAGATGAAGTCTCGCCAAGTTGCCCAGGCGGGTCTGGAACCTGCGGACTCAGGCAATCCACTCACCTCAGCCTCCCAAAGTGCGGGATTACAGGCTGAGCCACCGAGCCCGGCTACTTAAACAAAATTTTATATCAAGTCTGAACATTTTTTGCCTGGCTCCTGTGTTTTTTGTCATTCTTAGGCTTCTCATTTTGAGCTTTTATAATTTTTAATTTTTATTTTTATTTTGAGTCAGAGTCTCACTCCGTTGCCCAGGTTGGAGTGCAATGACATACATGCTCATGGCCACTGCAGCCTCAACCTGCTGGGCTCAGGCAATCCTTCCGCCCCAGCCTTCCAAGTAGCCAGAACTACAGGTGCATACTACCATGCCCAGTTAATTTTTGATTTATTGTAGAAAAGAGGTCTCGCCAATTTGCCTGGGCTGGTCTAGAACCCACAGGCCCAGGCAATTCACTCTCCTCGGCCTCCTGGGATTACAGGCTGAGCCACAGAGCCCGGTGTTTTTTTAAAAGCTATTCTATTTTTCTTTTTAGTGCATTTATGAAATGTTTTGCATATTCAAATTTTTATTAATTAGGAATTTTTAGAGTAAAATATGAGATAGGGTACAGTTTTTTCTCCATATTGCCTAACATTGATAGACAGTTTACCTTTCCTACACTGATTTGTAGGAAACATTTGTAGCTTTTTAAATCTTTTTAAGAAAATTATTTTGACTATTTTGTAGAGACTGGGTCTTACTATGTTGCCCAGGCTGGTCTTGAACTTATGGACCTAAGCATTCCTCCCACCTCAGCCCCCTAAAGTGTTGGGATTACGGACATGAGCCGCCTCCCCCCAGTTTCAAACATTTTTTGATTGTTAAATAGTCTTTGGCAAAATTAAGGAACTACTGAAGAAAAAGGATTGTGTTCGATTACAATAACAGTTCTGGCTCCTCACTGGTTTGTGTTGTTTTTTTTTTTTTAAAGAGCGTTAAATCTTGCTCTGTTACCCAGGCTGGAATGCAGTAGCGCTATCAAGCAATTCTCCCCTCAGCCTTCTGAGTAGCTAGGACTACAGACATGTGCTACCATACCCAGTTAATTTTTTTTTTTTTTTAAGAGATTAGGTCTCTCTGTCTTAGCCTCCCAGAGTGCTGGGATTACCCACAAGAGCCCCTACACTTGGCCCCCCATTGCATTTTAGAGTCATTTAAGATAGTGCTTCTCAAAGCTTTATGTACATTTGAATTACCTTGGGATTTTGTTAAATATGAAGATGCTGATTCAGTAGGTCTAAGATTTAGCATTTCTAATAAACTCCCAAATGCTGAAGCTGCTGGTCTTTGGACCACATTTTAAGTGGCAAGGACTTAGGAGCCCTTCAAAATACAATGTCTGGATCCTACCAGGAGAGATTTTGATTTAGTTGGTCTGCAGTAGGGCCCAGGTATAAATAGTTTCAGAGGCGCTAGGTGATTCTAATATATGGTGAAGATTAGGAGATATGGACCTCAGTAATTATTTAGCAGCTACTACTTGAGAAACCAGATAATTCACTGGTACAGAGTATGTGGGTGGGACAGTCCTAAAATACTGTGATTGCGCAGAATAATAAATTGGTTAGAACTCAGGTCTTTACATTTCTCCTGCCTTTTCTCCCTCGCATTTCTCAAATGCTATAAAGGGATAATAAAATAAAGTTAAGCTGGGCTCAGTGGCTCAGCCTGTAATCCCACACTTTGGGAAGCTGAGGTGAGTGGATTGCCTGAGCCCACGGGTTCGAGACCCGCCTGGACAACTTGGCCAGACCTCATCTTCTACACTAAATCAAAAAAATTAGCCAGGCATGGTAGCGTGCATCTGTAGTTCCAGCTACTTGGAAGGCTGAGGCAGAAGGATCGCCGGAGCCCAGCAGGTCGAGGCTGCGGTGGCCGGGAGCGGCCACTGCACTCCAGTCTGGGTGACAGAGTGAGATTCCAACTCAAAAGGAAAAAAATAAAATAAAATAAAGTTACAGAAATAAATGCACTATTATGTCTCCGTATTTCCTTTTTAAGGCATTGCATTCATGACTGAAACATTTGAAGAATTACCATGTATTTTTCTACAGGTGGAATGAGATACCACCTACTGTCACCAGAAGATAGAGAAGAACTTGTGGATGGCACGAGGCCTAGAAGAAAGAAACATGACTATCGCATAGCCCTATTTGGAGGCTCCCAGCCACAGTCTTGCAGATATTTCAACCCAAAGGTAACTAATTTTTAGTCTTGCTTTTGTTTTTGAAATCACTGAGCACAAAGACATTCATCTACCTCAAGTAGTAATAACTCATGCCCTTAGAGATGTTAATTTATGGTGTTCTTTCACATACCTTATGAGATACATAGTTATCATCTTCATTTTATAGGTAAGGAAATTGAGTCTTAGACAGATTTTAAATGTGTCCATAGTTGCTCTGGAGTGCTGCATTTTAACCACTATCTAACGAAAGGGGAAGCTAGTTTTCCTAGCTTATCTTTTTGTTAGCAACTCCTTGCATTCATTACAACTTCTTGCTTTCCTTATGTACCATTTTCTGTTCTTTTCTTTTTTCTTTTTAAATGAGTTGGAGTCTCATTCTGTTACCCAGGCTGGAGTGCAGTGGCATGCTCATGGCCGCTGCAGCCTCGACCTGCTGGGTTCAGGTGATCCTTTTGCCTCAGCCTTCCAAGTAGCTGGAACTACAGGCTGTGCCTCCATTCCCAGCTAATTTTTTGATTCATTGTAGAAATGAGGTTTCTCTAAGTTGCCCAGGCTGGTCTCAAACCTGTGGACTCAGACAGTCCTTTCACCTCAGCCTCCCAAAGTGCTGAGATTATAGGTGTGAGCCACTGCGCTCAGCCTATGTACCATTTTCAATGAAAATTCACTTCTGGAGCTTGATGTAGGTTTTCTTTTTCCCCTTAGTAATTTTATTTTAATATAAAATAATATATAGTCATTCTAGAAAATTTGGAAAACCTAGGAAAATCACAAAGAAAAAAATTAAAATGACCTTTAGTCAAGCCATCTAGAAATGATCACCAATTTTAGTGTGCTTTTCGTTACATATGCCAGTTGGGCAAGGAGAGCCTTAGTGTTAAGTCTAGGAACACGTTTTCTTAAGATAGATCATTAGTTTTAACCTTGAGAGAGTTCATTTGTGTTTCTGCTCCTTGTTTCTTAGATCTATGAGTTTGACTGTGGCAGAAGAATACCATATTTTTCTGGTATGACATGTATTGCTGCGGCAGAGCAAATACCACAGTGCTAAAGGATAACACCTCAAACTTTGCAAGGTGGTATTCATAATTGATACTAATCCAAGCAATAGTGGTATCTTATTTTGAGAGCCCATTTTTGGTTGATGATAGATACTTGATGAGACTAGAATATCTGTTGACATTAGGATATTTGTCTGATACTTCTTTCTCTCTTAAATGGGTCCTTGGAGGCATTTTGTGTAATAATACAGTGTTGCAGACCAGGCGTGGTGGCTCATGCCTACAATCCCAGCACTTTGGGAAGCCGAGGTGAGAGGATTGCCTGAGCCCACGGGTTCGAGACCAGCTGGGACAACTTTGCAATAAATCAAAAATTAGCCAGGTGTGTTGGTGCATGCCTGTAATTCTAGCTACTTGGAAGGCTGAGGCTAAAGGATACCTGAGCCCAGCAGGTCGAGGCTTTGGCGGCCGTGAGCATGCCACTGCACTCCAACCTGGGCAACAGATTGAGACTCTGACTCAAAAAAATAGTAATAGTAATAATATGGTGTTGACATAGAAGGCATTTATAAGATCACATATTGAGGTATTGTCAAGAATGTAGAAGACAGAAAAGGCCAGTCTAAGTTCAGAATAAGTGTCAGTTCCAATGAGGGCAGGCAGAGCTTTGTCCCTTCAATGATAGAAGGGTCCCAGTATAGTTAGCCTGTTATTCAATAGCTAACTGGTTCCCTAAAGTGTGGTAATGAATGAAGGGCTTAGGGTTGGCCAATGTTGCTGACAAAGTGGGCACTAGCCGGTAGTGGTACGATAGCCACAGTAGCCCTACTTTACTTGTAACTGACAGTTGGGTTTTTTTGGGGTTTTTTTGTTGTTGTTTATCTGCAAGTGTAAAAGAAAAAAGAGATACCCACACATGGTATATGTGCAGTCTCTAATATGTAGGAAGTGCCTAGAGTAGCAAGCCGTCCTTCAGTTCTAAAAACATGCTGTTGATTAGGACTTTGCAAACTTTTTTATAAAAGACCAGAGTAAATATTTTCAGCTTTGCTGGGCATCCATTCTCTACTGCGCCTACTTAACTCTGATGCTATAGCAGGAAGGCAGCCATAAACAGCACATAAACAAGTGGGCATGACTGTGCTCCAGTAATATTTTATTTACAAAGCCAGGTGGTGGGCTGGATTTGGCCTTCAGGCAATCGTTTGCCAACCTCTGCTCTAGACCTTTGGACATGTAGGGACTTTGAAGTGATCAACACTATTCTAGGCTGACTTATCGCCTAGATGATGGTGATTATCGCTGACTTATCACCTTTACTGTCAAGCACATTTCTTACCAAGACATACAGGATCCTTCTTTTCTCCTGATCTCTAGAACTGATCAGCATTATGGGCATCAACGTAGGAGACCAGTGTGTCACTTTGGGAAGGTGAGATGGTCTATGAAGACTGCAGCTTAGGTTATGGCATAGAACTAGAAAGTTGAGAGATATTTGAGGTCAGACGATGACATTATTTTCCTTTTCCAGCCAGCTGAAAAGAAATTCTATTAATAGGCTAGATAGATAGAGAAATATTCATTAGCCAAAGTGTTAGCTATATGGCAGATTTTAGTGGTTGTATTAATCTGGTCCAGTAAGATAACCACATCTGGCCCTCCTGCAACAATCAGTTACCAGTCTTGGCAGTTCTTCCAAAACAGCAGTTCCTCCTCTATTGGCTGGAGAAGAAGAACTCAAACAGCTTCTCTTTATTATCATAATAATTTACATCATAACCCACAGAGTAAATGATTTGCTGCTAGGTATCAAAAACACCTCCCCAGGAGGGAAGATCATGTTAGATTGGTTAATCACCATCATATTTGGACTGTCCCTATTGGACTGTTCTTGGCTCAGACAACTATTTCTGAAGCAGTCCTCCATCTCCAGAATTTAGGCAGTTTTTGTTTGTTTGTTTGTTTTGTTTTTACTAAAAGACATCTGACTCGCTTTCTCGGAAGACTGGTTGACTGGTGCCATGAGGATTCATGGCCTGTGCAGTATGACCCACTAAGTACAATTGACCTTTTAAGCACAATGTTTTCACTATGCTTAAAAGATTAAAGCACATACACATCTGTTTCACACCAGATAAGGGTAAACCTGTTGACATTTCAGTGACTATTTGCATTAAAAAAATTTTTCAGAATCCTTTTGACTCCCTAACAGAAAATTGATGAACTTTTTTAGCAAGCAAAAGCTGAAATCGGTGATTTCAGTTTTAATTTCACAAACCGGAGTTTTTTCAGGTGTTAATAATAATTATACCCCATTTGTTTCCCCAGCCTAGCTGTGGTGTTGATTTTGTTAGTTAAAGAGCAATGAAGCCAAGTTTTTTGGTTTTTTTCTTTTCTTTTTTTTTTTTTTGAGTTGGAGTCTCACTCTGTCGCCCAGACTGGGGTGCAGTGGCCGCTCCCAGCCACCGCAGCCTTGACCTGCTGGGCTCCAGCAATCCTTCCGCCTCAGCCTTCTGAGTAGCTGGAACTACAGGCGTGTGCTACCACGCCCAGTTAATTTTTGATTTATTGTAGAGATGAAGTCTGGCCAAGTTGCCCAGGCGAGTCTCAAACCCGCGGACTCAGGCAATCCACTCACCTCAGCCTCCCAAAGTGCTGGGATTACAGGCTGAGCCACTGAGCCCGGCCTGTTTTTTTTCTTTTTAAGATAAAAGGTTCAATTCAGGATTAGGTATACAAGCAGTTATTGTACAGGTAAAAGTTTGGGCCTCCCTTCAGTTCCCACTTTGCTTGGTTTAAGATCAGGTACCCCATTGATGTTGTGTAACTCACCCCCCCAACGAAGCCAAGTTTTGATGGAAATTTTTTATTTTAAAATAAAGTAGATGGCTATTTTGATGTATAGATGGGCAGGAAGAATCCTGATTTCATTTAGGAGGCAGGGAGCATTGTTTCTAGAATAAGGCAAATGTGGGATGGCTCTTAGCACTTTGTTTATTTTTAGTATGTAGTTCTAACACTTTTCTTGACTTTTTTTTTATTGGACAGTTAAAAAGAGATGCATATCCTAAACGACCCTGGAAGTGAGACTATAACTTCAGAATTCTCATTTGATGTCTTGCTTTGCTCTTATAAATGACTCGTTGTTAATTGCACGTTCACAAATTTTTTGACTTCCAGTGGAAAAATTCAAATAATTGAGGAATAAACTACCAATAAAAACATTCTCATTCCATCAGTTATCCCTTATTTCCAAAAGTTAACACTGTTAGAATCCCATTACAATATTCATTAAATGTTTCTATTAGAAGTATCAGCTCCTTCCCTTCTTTTTGCTATAAAAAATTAGCTTGCAAAACTTTTATTTATTATTATTATTTATATATAATGTAATATAAGTTGATTAGTCCTTATTTCTGAGGACTATCATTGGTGATGGCAAATATTTATATTAATAGATGACTAAGAAATTATATCAAAGAAAATCTTAACTTTTTTCTGAATATTGACAGAAAAAGAAGTCTTGGGTTGCTATATTAAATTGAAGGGATGTTTTTCTTGTTATGGTCCTCTTATAAAGCCTGCTGAGCCTCTTCTCCATCCTGTACCTGTTTTTAAATTTTCAAGTGCTCAGTGATCACTAGAAGAGTTATGTATCCAGTGTTCTGTCTATGTCTTTTAATATGGGTGTTCTCAAACTGTAGCATGGTAATTTTTATATATTGATGCCTAAATAAAAGTTGACTCACTTGACCAGTTTTTCTTTGGACTCCTCTTACTAGTGAATTGATGAGCCAATGGCTTAGAACTTTGTAAGGATCTTGGCTCACTATTTTTATATGGTAGAGAAACAGGAGACTGTGCCCTAGAGAAAAGGGGGTTCTGCATAGTCCCTGCCAAACACAAACTAGTAGTAAGATTAGAAGGGTGAGGGCCAGAGCCTGTAAATAACTAAGGCAGGAAACCACATGGCGCCATATTCATGGAATAATTAGTATTAAATGATTT